TATATATATATAAACTATTGTTTTGTAGGTCACAATAATAACACTCATTTTATAGAAGTTAATGTTTTATTTGCTCTACTGTTAAATCGTCTCGTTTTCTGTGACATAGAACTCTCCATGGTGCTGATCTCCCAGATCAGGGACGGTGTAAAGTCTCAACACCTGCCTGCACATGATGACTGTCCATGTTAAAGAGTGGAATTATGACTGTATAAAAGTGTTACTGTCATCATTCAAATAATATATATTTATTTAATTTCTTTAAATAATATAGATAATAAATAATCCTCAGTTTAATTTTTTTTATTTTACTTTACTTGACTGTACTCTGTCACATGTTGATATTAGATAAAGAAATCACACTGCATTTTTATTGCCAAAGACCCTGAAACTGTTGTTTTCCAACTACAGGCATATGTGAAAAATAATTTATAATATATTTTAATGCCTTGGTTTGAACATTGCATTTCATGTAAAAATACTGATTCACTAAAATTCAATATATCCAGAAACAATTAAAGAGGAGACTTCCCTCCTCATTGGGGAATCATTAGGATATCATTAGTGTTTAATAGTAAAAAAAACAAAAACATTTGAGTTGCAGGTCAGAGGTCTTATACAGAGACGATTCGAGAGTAACAGGCACAAAAAACTCTGAAGTCTTCGTTTGCACCGTACCTTCAAGCAGAATCCTTCGACGACACGGACCAGGCGGATGATGGGGGTGTGACCCAAGCAGCACCAGCAACAGTCTGTCCACAGCTGCCATCACAGGAAACAGTAGTTTGATGAGGGGAAATACGAATACGACGACACCTAGAAGAAGTAAAAACGACAATGATGAGTGAACAGCAGTATCGCCGCTAAGAAAGTTCCTCCACGCGGTTAGAGATCTTCTGTAAGAGGATGGACGAACCTCCTTTATTAAGCTAATTGATTTTTTAAAAAGGTGATAGACTTAAATCAACTAAATTAGATTGAAGGGTCAGTACATGTGCGCTGAAGTAATTTGTTAATGGTCTTAACACCGGATGGTGACCTTTGCCCTCCTTCTAAAGCAGATCAAGAAATTCTTACTCCCAACACCTTCAAAATGCTGAGGAAATGTTGATATTAAACAAGAAAAGGAAGAAAAGAAAAGAAAATGTTGATATTAAACAAGAAAAGGAAAAGAAAAAAAAAGAAAGAAAAAAGCCAAAATAAAAAGTATTAAAGCAGCAATAAGAAATGTACATGTAGCTTTCACATTCCCAAGTGGTGAAAATAATTTTATTTTCAGGACAAAGTGAGTCTTGATGTATTGGGAATCATTACAGAGAGTGGAATACAGACGGAAATACAGACCACACTTTAATTTAACTCACATCACATCACATCACATCACAGAACCACTGAGGCATCATGGATAAAGAATAAACTTGTTGGCTTGTTAAGAGAAGTTTCACACTTCCTGTAAATACCTTAATTACATTTCACTTTGTGCCGTGGCCTTTCAATCCAGGATGTAGAGGTTAATTAACAGCATGTACAACCTGACAATCCCTTAAGACCAATTTGTTAATTTGACAATAGGGTTAGTGGTGCGGTATAAAGACCACTCTGCTCACTCCTGACTCCCGTGTCAACCAACACTGTTGGGTTTTTCAAGAGGAAAGAAAACCACAGGAAAAAGGAAAACCCAAGAAGATGGGCTGGGACGGAGGATTTGAGCCCAATGGCACCGAGGGCAAGAACTTTTACATCCCCATGTCCAACAGGACCGGGATCGTCAGGAGTCCTTTCGAATACCCTCAGTATTACATGGTAGACCCGATAATGTACAAACTTTTGGCTTTCTACATGTTCTTCCTCATCTGCACCGGAACACCCATCAACGGACTGACGTTGTTCGTCACGGCTCAGAACAAGAAACTCAGGCAACCTCTCAACTACATCCTGGTCAACCTGGCCGTGGCCGGACTCATCATGTGCGCCTTCGGATTCACCATCACCATCACCTCCGCCTTCAACGGCTACTTCACTCTCGGAGCCACCTCCTGTGCACTAGAGGG